TTTACTCTATGAATATCGCAATAGGCACTCTCATCTCTAACCCAAGTATTAGGAGAGTTGTATCTTCCTCTGCTTGGGGAGGGTTTTCCTACAGCATTAGTAGCAGGATTAACTCCGAACCGTTTTTGATCTTCGGTTCGAACTTTTTAGTTGGATTTCCAACGACCAATTTTGCTGGCCGATGCTTTTTAGCGAGGCTAAGCTTTTTTTCTTCTGCCTCCATCCAATTAGTAGCTCTAAATAAAGCGTCTTGGATGGTGCTCGGACGATTGACGATGATTTCTTCCCGGAATCGAGATTCATGCAAGAGTCCGTTTCTTAAAGCAGAAAGGGTAGCACCGTGCGATACCCCAGGAATTTTGGCTATCACTTCTTTGAATTTACCGATATATTTGCGAAGTGGTTCGTTCTGACCTTGGGTTAAATTCCAAAGATCTGCATCAGAGGTTGTCTTTTCCATGAACATGGAATACTGTTTTAGGAATGCGGAGGACAATTCCTTAAAACTATCAATAGATTCAGGCTCCAACTGATTGAACCATAATAAAGCCGATCCGGATAGATTCTCGGAGAATAGTTTGCAATATCCGGCATCTTCCTCGTCTGGTTCTAGATCAATTCTGCCAGCAGCGATCTGAAAAGCAGCGAGGTGATTTTTAGGATCACCTTTACCATCGTAAGTTGGTAATTTGACCTTTCGAGAATCTTTGATCTGAAGGTTCGATATTCTCGAAGTGAAGGGTGTTCGTCGAGTTTCTTCGATTACTCGATCGATCTCAGGTGCCGAACTGGTCGCCTGATGAAACTTCGACTTCATCTCATCAAGCTCTTGACGAACTTTGACAAAATCATCTGAAAGGATGACATCAGGATCTTCCATAAGGAGTCCTTCGTCAATAGCAGGATTTCCTTGATTTTGGGGATTTTCATCCCCGGTTGGATTGGACCCATCTCCTACGATTGTCTGATTGCTAGTACTAGCAGGACGGCCTGCAGGAGGAGTTTGAGTGCTCCCGGTCCTGTTTTGTGTGGGAGTCTGGAATAGCCTGCGCTGATACGCTGTCGTTCGCGCTGAGGACAAATTATCTAAACGGCTTGAAACAACGTTCTGCGCGTTTGACAGATTTGTTTGAGTGGTTTGAACACTCATTAAAGTTTGCTCGATTGAAGTCAACCTCTCACTAAAAGTGGTGTTGGCATCAGCGAGTGTACCAATCTGAGTCGTTAGACTAGCGGTTGCTTGATTAAGCGAGGTTATTGCATCGCTCAAAGTTTGCTGATCAGCCATAGCTTCTTGGTTTGAAAAAGAGAGATTTTAAGATTAAAGAGTTTTGCGGTAACTCCCCACAGGCGGCGCCAAAATGTGGATGTAGGATTCACACTCGATTGTCTTTAAGTATTTTTGTGGAGAAAAACTCTAAAATCAACAAATAAAAATAAGGATTCGAAAAGGAAAGTAACCAAGAAACCAAATAAAGCGAAAGAATTTGATAAGAATAAAATAGTAAAAAGCCTTGCGAAATTGTGAAAGAAAAAGTATGTTGTATTGCTTGATAGTAAGAGGTAAAAGATTGTCTCTCCCCAAACACATGCGTTTGAGGTTGTTTTTATAGAGAAAACATGATTAATGCGGTTATTTACTACTCGTAATCATATTGACCCGCATTAATCACATAAGTTACATTTTGACCGAAACGGCTTGAATTTGAACCTTGTCTTGGGCTTCGCGTGGGCCTTCCGAACTCTTTCTTGCTGACTCCGAACTTCCGTGCTTTGATGCTACCGCGAGCCTCGAACAATATTCTCCTCGCTTCGGTCTTTCTCTATGCGAACTGTATGCTGGATAAGAGCGAACTCCGTACTGGTAAAGATCGAACTCCTTTAGTAAACTGAATCGAACTCCCAACCGGTCAAGTCCAATAAAGTATTTAGAAATTCGAGAGGATTATTGTGCAATAATGACGTGGACAGATCCAAGTTGATCCTACCGAAAGTGTGTGGGATCCGACCCCAACAGAGAAGAAAAAAATATGGTGGTGAAGAAATCCGACGAGAGGGAGAGAAGAAGAAAGGAAGAGTAGTTCAAGCAAAAATAAGAGAAATTTAATGAGAGATACATAGAGATTTGAGAATTAGTTTCAAGAAAAAACGAATAAATTGGTAATATGAGCCTAAAATGACAAAAGCCATGTAGCAAATAGATAATGTTTAGTCTGATGTTGTTTTCTTAATTTTTTTTAATCTTAAGTTATTTAGTGTATATTCTCTTATCTTTATAAGGTTGTTTTTTAAAAATAAATCCACATTTAGAAATAATTATGCTGCATTTTCTAAAATATATGTGTTTATAGAATTTTAGTTAAGCTTACAAAAATAAAATAAAAATATTAAGAGTGATAGTCTCGACCGGCAACCCCGTGTGTTACGGGTCCATAAAGGAATTTGATAAATATAAACTTTTGGCGGGAAATTATCTAAAAAGTAAAAAGTTACCCAAATAACTTTTACACTCATCAAGAATCGAATCCACTGCCTCCGAGTTCCGTGAGAAATTTAAGTTGCGTGTAATGCCATCAGACTAAACCAATTGTTCAGCAGGCACTCCCCTTTTCTATATATCTACATGTATATATATTAATAATACGACGTTTTAACTGTGAATTAAGAATTAACTGTGACTCTGAAAAATTTAAAAATGTCGAGAGAATTTTAAGTTTGTTTAGGTAAAGGTACATATACATACACAAGATTAAATTTACATATCCTATAAAATTTATTTTCCTGTCTTAGCAAACGGATCGCATATTTTAAATCTATTTTGCGACTCTAGAGTCGGTTTATTATATGACTTTAATAATTTGAATTTACATATCCTATAAAATTTATTTTCCTGTCTTAGCAAACGGATCGCATATTTTAAATCTATTTTGCGACTCTAGAGTCGGTTTATTATATGACTTTAATAATTTGACGTCAAATTATTAAAGTCATATAATAAACCGACTACAAGAGACACGCTTGTTTACGTCAAATTATTAAAGTCATATAATAAACCGACTTTAAACTTGTGGAAAGAAAGGAATTTAATGTCATTATGTAAACCGACGTAACTCTTTTGTCGTAATATTCGGCTCTTTACATATTAAAGCCCATATTTATTTTTGTTAAAGCCCAACACTGTAGATACTTCTAGGGACAACTGAGATGAATAACACTCGTCTTCTTCTTTTTTGCTTAAAAAAAAAAAAAAAAAAAAAACACTCAGTCTTCTTCGTTCACAGATCTATGATTAGTTTCTTCTAAAATCTCGAAATCGGAGCTCGTATCGAAGGTTTGTTTGTAGAATTTTGTAAAGTTGATTACGATTTGGATTATTACTTGATTCTAACTTAATTTTATCAACATCGAAGGTGGTTTTTGGTGGTGAAGGAGACTTGAAGCTCTAACTCGAACCAGACGCCGTGACGAAGGACACTTGAAGCTCTAACTCGATTTTCAATAAGGTATTGAATCTGTTCCCTTGAGATTTTGCTTAATTTTGCTTTGTACCTTGAAATTTTAGTTGTCATATGAAATTTGATTGTGCTTGGTGTGAGATTAGCTTTGTATTGTTGTTTCCTGAGTATCTAGCCTATTACTGTTGTTTTCTGAGAATCTAGCCTTGTACTGTTTTTCATGGAAGCGATTCATGTTTTTAGTAAATTATGAGATTGGTTTGTGTTTGTTCTGATTTTTATATGGTTTAGAAAACTAAAATGTCTGCATATTAGAAACGTATTATGGGTAATTTAAACTTGATTGTCTGAAGTATTTTCACTAGCTTGATTTTGCTTTGTACCTTGAAATTTTGGTCGTTGGTGTGAGATTATAGTATCCATCCATCTGTTTACCCATTTGTTAATGCTTGTTTGGTGTGAGATTATATTAGCTAGCCTTGCACTGTTTTTTCATGTTGTTTTTAGCAAACTATAAGATTCTGTGTTTCTTAATTATTTGGTTTTGAAACTACGATGTCTGCATCTTAGAAACGTATTCTTTGTTTTTATGGGTAGCTTAAACTTGAATCTCTGAAATATTTTCAGAGAAGTGGTCATTGTTATCTAGGAAATGTTTGGATTTGGATATGGATATATAAGTCGTGGATAACAAAACCTCGATTGTCTCAAGATTACATAATCGGAGTCAAGGAGTTTTTGGATTTTTCCAGGTAGACATGCTTCTATAGTAAATGAATGTATTCTTATAAGATTAACAACGTTAAGAGTACTACAATTTTAAAATACGTTACTTCTATAGGAGAATGAGAATGGTGGAAACATAAAGCTTGCTAATGCTCATGAAGTTCTTCTTGAAGCTTGCAGAGACATTCAATTCCATGTAAGTAAATGAATGTTCTAAGAATGAGAATTGTAGTGGTTGAGTATATATGATTAACAGTTCTTAGAATGAGAATTGTAGTGGAGAATGAGAATGGTAGAGACATAAACCTTGCTACTGCTATTAACATGCTGCATCAAGTATCATCTAGTATATCAAGTGACAAGGTAACAATCTAATTTAACTCTGTTTTGGAAATCTATGACTCTGAAACTTGTATGATATTTTCAAATTGTATAACTCTTGAACTTGTCTCTAATTTCAGGCAAGATGAAGTGTGTATTACAAAAGCAGCAATTTGAGAACTATGGAGAGCTATAGATGAAGATAAATTTGTATCTATCATATTGATTATGTGACATTTATATTCTATGTAAAAACAAGTTCTTTTGATTAGTTGAATTTTTATACAGATTATCATTTGAAACTATAATTGACTAGAGTATAAATATATATATATATATATATATATATTAGCATAAAATAATTGAAAAATATTAGTTAATTATATACACGTCGGTTGTATAAGTGATTCAAACAGGAAAATAGATTTTAACTTTTAAGTCACAAAAACCGATGTTATAATCTATAAAACCGACGCAAAGATTCAGACGTTAAAGTACATGTCGGTTGTGTAACTGATGTTAAGATTTTTAGCGTCGAAGGTTATTAAGTCGGTTTAATAACCGTTGCCATTTGATTGAAGTCAATTATAAACTGACGTAAGAGTCATAATAAACCGACGTAAAATACCGTATCTCTTGTAGTGTCTATGAAGACAAATCGGGGGTTATAGTTATATAAACACAATTTAGTATTCGAAATAGACATCAGATGCTTCAGTATGTATAAAGAGTGCATAACGAACATTTGAATATACTCTAAAGCAGGCATTCAAATGATTTATATAATCAAGCAAAATTCTAATAGCTATAATCTGACAATGGTCTAAGCTCGGCCGATGGTGTCGTGTCATCAGTACTATCAGTATATCGATGATAATGAAGTCAAAATCTTAACTAAATTAACTATCATGAACAAGTAGGCACAATGTAGTGATTATATATGGGTTAAAAACGTAAAACATTATGTTCACTAACATTTTTGACGTGTTAATTGTGATGTGACGTCATATAATACTTAATTGTGTTATTAGGTTAGCATTAACGTGACGTGTGATACTTAATTTCTTAGTATCAAATTATCTATTATCCGTTTCATTTCATCCAGATTAATAAATTTTTGATAATATTTATAAGAATTTCGAACAAAAGTTAATCTTTCCTTAAAAATAAATTATAATATTCACTATTCACATAGAAATCACTTAAAGACCCTTGTTTCTTAAATTTTAAATATTTAAATCATTTAGACATTGACAACTAAAAAAAAATTATATTTATAGACCCTTTTTCATATCTCTTACTAATAAAAAATGCTAATTGAAGCTTCTATTTGTGTCCCCAAATTGAAAATCATCTAACAAGAAGCCACGTCAGCAACCTCTCACGTCAAAAGGTTATGGGCCTGTTTCGAAGCCCATGAATAAAATAGAAGAACAAAAAAAATCAAAACGTTGCTCTGACTCATCGTCTTCCCCGAAATCTACGATTGAGTGAGTTTTCAGAGTTGTTATCACTTATCATCAGTGTTCAATTGACCATCTATCTCCCCTTTTAAGAGATGCAAACGTTACAATTGAATTCTTTAAAGGTTTCAGTGTTATTATCTCTTTGCAGTTGTCACCGAAAGCCAGTTTCACAGTACCCATTTTTTTTCCCCATCCTCATCTAAAATTGATGGAAGCGAACATCAGAGACCATCTGATCGACATCGTTCAATCGAAAAAGTAATCCGATTCCATCTCTTATCGCTTAAAAGCGATGTAGCAGTCTAAAAAATTCGATTCTATTTCTGGTTAGTTTACAGTTTGATTAATCACAATTGGAAGAATTCACTATCTATACAAACAATATTTTTTGGTGTTTGTGAAATACGTCGGAGACGTCGTGTAGGTCTGCTTCTCTATCTCTGTATAATTCTGTTTGATTTAGGTGTTTTGATTTCGTCCTATCAAGAGCTTGGTGAGATGAAGAGGAGATTGAAAGGGATGGAGGAAGAAGCTACTACGCTGCGCAAGATGCAAGCAAAAGTCGAAAAAGAAAGGGGAGCTATTCAAGTAAGCTTTTTCAGATATTGTTAAATGACCACTCTAGTAATTGACTAAAGATTCATGAATTATGAGTAGTTAATGGAGCTTATCGAAGAAGTAGATTTCTATATGAAAAGTCTATTTTTTGGAAGAACTTGAAGGGAAAACCATTTAATTTCATTGTTTAACTTTTTCCACTTTAGGATCGAAGTGCGGAGCTAAGTAGCAATGTAGAAAATGGAAGTAGCAATTCCAATGAAGGAACGAATCCTGAAAACCAGCAGTCATTGGATTGAAAAACGTTGTCAAGGTATATTTTTTGTAAGAACTGTGAACAAGAGACACATTTTGCCAGTTGATCTGACCTCTCTGTGTTGTTCTTCTAGGTTTGGAAACCGTACACAGTAACTAAGCAGAGAGATAAGTGGAGTGAGGAAGAGCATGGCAGGTTTCTTCAAGCTATAAAGCTTTATGGTCGTGGTTGGCGTCAAATCCTAGATGTAGTTCTTAATAACCTAAGTCTTTATTTTGCTGCATAACACATAGGTACGAACACATGCTCAAAAGTTTTTCACCAAGGTCTTGTGTATTTAGATGTTTTAAAAAAATCAGTAGTACTGAGAGTCTTCTTGACTTCTTAGAGGTACTCTTTAGTCTTTATTTGATGCCTGATCTCATTAAGAGATTTGATAGCACTTAGCAACTTTAGTGATCTTTTTTCTTTGTTATTCTAAGGATTGTATGCAGACTTTTGCCACTGCATTTTGTTTGGGAGTGTTAAGCAAATACTACGTGGTTTGGCTTGATTTATTTCCACATTCTTTTTTGAATAATAATGATGATAATGGTGATTTTGTCTTTGTTGTATAGGTGGGATTGAAAAGCTTATCATGATGGTGATGAATTCTTCTCTTTTCACTCTGTTTCAGGCCGGATCCTCTTGATCTTCTCCATCAAACTTTAAATCTGTTCCCTCTCTTCTTTCAAGTTCTCTGTTTTCGTTCTCTTCTTTACCCTCTGTTTTGTTTCTTTTGATTTAGAGTCAAAGCAAGAGAATGTTTTAAGAACTTAGAGAGAGAACAATTAAAACTACAGATTTTGCTTCACATAGTTATATTTAGACTACTCACCATATTATTGTTTTCTGAGCTTCTTTGCTGTCAGTTCACAGATTTTTTTAAAATATGAGTTATCTTCCTTCAATTTCAAAAATTTCATATTTACAAACTACATAATATACTACACACAAAAAAATGAAATGAAAAAAATAAAGATGACTTGAAAATAAGTTATGAGACTATAAAAATGAGAAAATTCTGTAAAGACTAATAGTAGTAAAATAAGTTTTACAAAAATGAAATTTAAAATGTAAACATATATTGCAAATAGAAAATTTAAACATAGATGAAACTTAACAACTAATTATATCATACATGTTTTTTTTAATATAAGATACTACGTCGCATAATTATTTCATACGTATTTTGAAGAAACTAAAAAATAACTTATCAAATATGTATACCGGGCGTAACCCGGATTATCCCCTAGTATAACTAAAAGACTACTCATAAGGCAAACCATTGCCTGGTCACGGAAACGTCAAGGTTTTTGATGCGGCACATGTTGGCTTCTAGGCTATATAAACGACTCCGGTGTACACCATATTCAATCAAGTTCTACATTTTTTTTTGCTTTGTATTGAACACGGTTTCCGATTTCCAACATGCTATCTCACAACCACATTAGAAACTAGCGATGATCCTTACCATGTATTGGCACGTGAGGTGGATGCGAGAAATTGAGAATGATCCACTAGTTGGGTTAACCTTTGTAGGAAAAGGTGGAGATTGTGATAACGTTTGTAGATTAGACAATGAAAATCAAGAAGATTTGGTAGGGATCGGAAGAAGAAAGGTTGAATGGCGATCAAGAGAGCAAAGAAAAGGAATATTATCATGTCCTTGAACAAGGGATTAGAAAGATATAACAACGAGGACATAGTGTTTAAAATAAGGAGGACATAGTGTCGCTGGAGTTGTGGAGGAGATGCATCATGCATTGTAAATGTGGTGGGGAAGCAACAATGCCTTTTAATGTGGTGAGTATGTCTCCCACCTATACATGCATCGAGTGTTCCGATAATCAGGGCCGGCCCTGAACAATATGGGGCCCCAGCAAAAAAGAAAAAACTTGTTGGGTTTTATAGATAAATTTTAAAAACTGATATCAAATCTTAAAATTTCAAGAAAATAGGGCCTCTCTTTACAACATAAAATATTTTTGGAGGCCTCATTTTGCAACATAAAATTTGGGGGCCACAAACCATTGCCTCAAGCGGCTGTGCTCAGGGCCGGCACTGTTCCGATTTGTCGTCAAAAAGTCACACAACAACAAAAAGACAGAGGTCCTGTCCAGCCTATACCTTAGAAGCCTCCTCTAACAACGTTTATTAGCCTTCTTTGCGTTGTTTTATGGCTAGAGTGTTTATCAAGCTAGAGTGTTTTCATTGTTGTAGGCTCTTATTTTCTCTAATTCTAATGCAACTATGCAAGGAAAATAAATCGTTATAAATAATGCTTTGTCGATTATTAGATTTTACACAAACACGAGCAAATAACATAAAATGTCGTTTTTTTAATATATGAAACTTATCTATTGGTGAGCTCATAACCTAATAATTAACTAACTCATTAAATGATAGCTTTGATTAGCTAACCATATACTCCCTTTGTTTTCGAATAGTTGTCGTTTTAGAGAAATTTTTTTGTTTTTAATTAGTTGTCGTTTTCAGTTTTCGATACAAAATTTATTACTTTTTTATTTTTTATATTTATTTTTATTATGCAACTTGATTTACTATTGGTTAAATTATGTTTAGGTAGATAATTAATGATATTTTTATATTGAAAAACTAACAACATTAATAGTTTCTTAATTTGTGTGCATATAGTTAAAACGACAACTATTCGAAAACGGATGGAGTAGATTACTAGCTAACAATATCAAGAAAAAATTATTCCGTAAAACGTAGGAAACAGAAGCCGAGATGATGTTGAAATCCTAGGCCTAGATTCTAACTCCTTTCGGCTGTCTACAGGATTACAGGTAGCTAAGAAGGAGATTCCATTGCCTTTAAACCTTTGAGTTAGCGAGAGAATGTATGCAAGTAGTTGTTTCTCATCTTCTCTTCCTCCAGATGAATGAAAGAATGAAACCGAATTCATCTACATTTGTTTCGGCTGTTGTCTTCCTGTGCGAACAATGAAGCAGGATGCGTAGGACGTAGTGTTGGAGTTTTAGTGGAAGAGGAAAGAATAGATTTAATGCATTTATTCTATTAATTGGAAATTTTCTATTAAAAAAGTTCGTTTACAGCCGTCAATTTAGTAGAAGAAATAAAAAAATTCCCATTAATTGCTCTTCTTCTTTGAGAGGTAGAGAAAATGATAGAGGATTTCCTCAAGTTTTATTTCCTTTTTAGATCGTTAATGGTCAAGCTAATATCATAAAATTAATGCATTTATTCTATTAATTGGAAATCTGTACTAGTATTTTTGCAATATTTTGGTGACGGGTGGATAAAAATGTTTCTGGGTTAATCGGATATCCGACCCGTTTTTTAAAATCCTTCACAAAAAAAATTGTTAGGTCGGGTTATATTTAACCCAACTCATACACTGGATATTTCATATTTAATAATTTAGATATTTAGAAGATTTGATTAAGATTTAGAATTATGATTCTCCTATCATCTTTGTTTGATTTGTTTTTAACTGTTTTGAATCATCATATAATACATAAAGTAAAAAAAAAATCAATTTTTTTCTGCATATACTGTGATTCGAAATTTTTAAAACGGACATATATTATCTTATTGACGAAAATGTGTGTTCAACGTTCTACATCGATTAAAATATTTAGACAATGATTCAGAATCTTATGATAAATAGGATCAACATTAATAAAATAAATGAATTTTTTGGCCGGACGGGTTTGGCGGGACGGGTTTTTGAATCAACAATAATAAAAAGATTAAACTATCATTAAACCGCCGCTTCAATACGGATTAAATCCTTATTTTTTTTAATACCACCAATATTAGACATATTAAATCAGTCTCATTTAGAAAAATTGTATAAAACCAAAAATTGTCCCGTGGTATAATGTTACTTAATAACAATATTTATAAAATTTTAAATATCATTAACATGCCGCTTTAATACATATTAAATCTTCAGTTTATTAAAATATAAATGTCTTAGAGAATGATATGATTTGTAAACTTTTATATATAATAAATAATCATTAAATTTTAAAATAAAAACAAATCACGGGACGGGTTAAGAAATTACGGAACGAGTTATATTTCGGAAATGATTTATATGGCGGACGAATTTGAATCAATATTTATATATCGCTTTAATACGGGTTAAATCCTCAGTTTATTAATAATTGTCTTGTGGACTCGTGGTATACCGTTACTTAATAACAATTGTAAACTGTAATATAAATAAATATGTTATAAGGAGATACAATTTACAAAATATTTTTATACTAACTTTAAAATTAAATCATCCCGCGGTGTACCGCGGGTTAAAATCTAGTTTCCAATTAAAAAGGTTCGTCTACAGCCGTCAATTTAGTAGATGAAATCAAAATTTTCTACACAATTTACATAATCTTCCATATACGACATCAATTATTTAATTAATTGAGCGACTTAAGGAGAATGCAATTAATTAATGTAAATTTTCATCAAACTCTTGCTATATATAAGATACCTTCATCGAGACGATTACTATCAAACCAATTACACCCAAGAAAAAAAAAACACCAATTAGAGAATGTCACTAGATGGATATTTCTCTGTTGAGTTTGAGATCCGGTCTCCGGTGGACAAATTCTGTCAAGGTTACATGGAGGTAGCGAAACCCCCTAACGACAAAGGTATAACTATTCCCCATTACATAAAACATATTGATTCATAATTCAATTAATATTTCTTGATTAAAACTCTAATTGTTATGTTTCACCAAAGTTTCGTCGGACGTGCGGGAGGTTCTACCTTCGGGGAAGAGAAAGACTCAGTTAAGAATGGAGGGATTTCAGATCTCGGAGTGGTTCAGGTCTCTCGCAAAACCTCTCGCCGACAGTACTAGTGATATGGCCAAGTCGCGAAACCCGGATTACTACACGAAGCTCGAAGGAACCATGACCGTCATTCACACGGAAGGCATTGAAGGTGGCCGCGCGATATGGACTCTACAGTATGAGAAGATTAGCTCTGACATTAAGGACACACTATTCATCATCGACATTACTACAATATACTTTAAGCAGATGGATGAGAGAATCTTCTCAAATCTCTAGAATTCTGTAAATAGGTAAACAAAGTGGAAACCCTATATATACATATAGTTATAATCACCGCTTAGACAGTTTATGATACTAGTTATCATTTAATAATGGTTGGCATTTAGGAAGTATTAATTTGCTCTTGAAGCTTTCAAGGTGCATAATATATCGATATGCATATTATTGCTGTACTGCCGATTCTAATAAAGGGAATAAATTAATCCATGTTTTATTATTTGGTCAATGAGATATAGAAATTATTGTGCAAGTCATTTGTTTGAACTTGGTTGTTAGTTTGTAAAGAAACGAATTGAATTATCAAGAATAAATTGAAATTGAAAATATATATAAGAATTAATTAAATCTCCTTGACATAAGAAAAAAAAAATGGACAATTCTAGACAGTCCAATACATATGTACCTGCAAAGACTTGCGTACCAAAATGTTATTACTAGCAAATCACACGCACTCTTTCAGTAATTACTTTTACAAAGAGACTATCAAACTTTTCTTCTGATTTATAAAAATTTAATAACCGATCATTTTATCAAATGTTATGAAAATTAAGTTACTCATGATATTAATAATTAAAGTCTTGATCTTTAATATATGTTTAAATAATCAAGCACAATACTGTAAACAATCTCAAAGCAAGATAGATTCATGCTCAATAAGAACTTATTGAAAGAGAAATATAAACTTATAAATTGAAATAGCTCATTGAGGAGCTTTATTGAAATATAAAGGAAAAAAAAAGTCTTTAGTTTGTCACCAAGTTCAAATGATTCAAAATTGATACGATTATAAAAATGAATTGAAAAAGGAGAGTTGTCTCATACAACTCTCAAGGTACCTTATACATTGAAGACAAATTTATATGAATCTCTACTTGTCTAAACCCTAGTTACATGGGCTAATGGACTTCTCATCTTAGGCTTCATTTGGATCTACTAATAAGTACAACTTATGCATGTTACTCAATTTTTTGGTTTTTTTTCTCTAATGTAATGTATATAGTAATTGAAATTACAATTGGTTGTCTGAAAAAGTTGAGTGACTTAAGCATTAACTGACAGTTATTTGACGATATTCGTTAGTCAAAATTACTTTCTTTTCATCAAATACCCATCGGTCCATGCATAAGTTGGTTACTCAAAAAGCAATCACATTTTTTTAGACTCATACCTAAATGATTTTGGTTACTCTTCACAAACTTTTGAGAACCCTTTATAAATTTCGATGCTTTTTGAATTTTGTGTTTGAAAATATTTTTATTTTATTTCTTTTAATTTTTGTTAGAGTTCATTAGTCTTTCAACATTTCGCTACACTGTTGAAAATTAAAGAAGTGGAGTATTATATTTTACGGCTAATAAATATACAAACATTTTCTATTTATTACTGCACCCTAGCTAGATAATAAGTCTTGCCATGATGTGGCATGCTTCAGCTATGTACATAACTTCGGTGACAAGTTTCTACGTTGTCTTTCGTTTGTCATACATCTGCACTTGCATTTGACCAAATCAGTGGTAGCGATTACATATCCATGTCCCTCTCATTTGTTCCATGTTGCTTCGTCAACTAATTAATGTTATTTTTTTCCTATCACAGGTTGCGTGCTGTAACACTATCAAGTTCTCTCGTCTCATAGAGTTTTATTTTGAAATCTTGTGGGCGCTGCGGTCCAGAGGAGCTTGAAATCTATATCTTCCACATCTCTATTAACTGCGTTCTCAACCCAATTTCTGACATCGACGTCAATAGGACAATGTGGACCGAGTTGGACAATCAAACAATCTAGTTTCGGTGCCTTATGGAGTTGCAATGACTTTTCACCCAACGCTCTCGCTGTTTGAACTCGAGTCTAGGCAGCATCGGCCAGACATAATGCCATCGTTTAGACAAGACTGAAGTGGCGACTGCCTCTTTTGTTGGGACGTGATGCAAGATCTGCAAGAGCAAATCGTCAGGCAGAGCACAGATCCTAGTTTCGATTCTCTGCTGACAATCTTCGGTTTCTGGAACAGTTGACAGATGCTTATCGATGTGTATAATATCCCACAAAAAAGACCAACAACTCACGAAACCCATAGATGTGGGATACCTAGCTAGACGCCAATGGAACTTCTTTCTCGTCGCTGGCTGTATTGTAAAGCCTTTTTTTAAAGAAAAAACAATTATTATACAAATATTTATTATTTGTTCAGAAAAAAAAAATTATTTATTAATGCATATAAAAAAGAAACTAAATTAAAGTTGCCCAATTTTTAAAAGTAAAACTGCAATATAGACACACAAAATATATCAATCGATCCCCATTCTTACATAATTGTTAGTTTTTTTTTTCTTACAAATCTATCATCAAACCAAACAAAATTGATGAAAATCCAATTTTTCTAGCCCGGTCCTTATATTTCCATTTGTTATTTTGGATGAATTTATTTTCCAATTCCCAATTTTGCCGCCAACCTTGATTAATTTCTCTACTTGGCTTGCTCTAATTACTTGCACCATCGTGGTTTTGGTATGGTCCATGGCCGGTACAATGACGTTAATAAATAAATGATGTTTGTATATTTATCAGCCCTTAAGGGGAAACAAACACTAATTTAATTTTCTTTGGACCTAGACCCAAGTTTAATATTTGCATAACTGTTCGATTGATTTTTGATATTGTTGGCCTTTATCTTTTGGGATAACTAGGCTTTGTTTTCGAGTTCTTCTAAGTTCTAACAATAAATCTATTTTGGGCGTTTCGCAGTTGCTTATTTAATTAAAAGAAAAACAATAAATAATACTTTTTCATAGTAGAAGAAAACCAACCAAAATGTCTTACGTTTTTAACCCATTATATGTGTGCCTCTACTTGTTCATGAATTTTTTAAGATTTTAATTTCACTGTCATCGATACATCATACACTGATATTGCTGGAACGGCAACAACGGCCTAGCTATTTGTGTTTTTTCTTTCTTTCCTCTCATAATGAGGCAACATTTTGAGCTTACAATGTGTTAATTAGAGATTAAAAGAGACAATAGAAACAACAATGAAGCAAAGCAAGCACATATTAGCTAAGGTTGAATAAACCTAAACATGTAGATAGATACAAGTCTCTTGATGAGGGAGCGTAATATTGAGCGGATAATAACCTTTATATGCTTCATAAATGTTCGTAATAATTTGTTTCTATCTACATTTTTATGGTGAGAAATTTGATTTGGGATTTCCTTGATAAAATTCAGTGCATATATAATCTTATATCCCTCACTTAAACAAATGTTAGTTAGCCCTTTATATATATATAAATAATAATAATAATAATCTATATATAATAGCAATCTAATAAATACCATTTGCACATCTGAACGGTTGCGTCTTTTTATCGCAACTTTTCGTTAATGTTTTAATTAATTAAAATATATATTTTACGGTTATGTTTTTTTTTTTATAAATTGCATTCTGAATGTTTTCTACGGTTGCGTTTTTTATTGTAACTCTTCATAAACAGTTGAAACCGCTTATTCGAATCATTGCAATATTTAGTTTATTTCACGAACAATTGCAATTTTTTGGTTTATTTTATAAATAGGTATGACATTTAATTATCTACCGCCAGATCTCTCGATGTAACTTTTCATAAATTATTATTTTAATTCTTAATTTTTAATTACTAAAATGTATTTAAATGAGATTGTAACTATTTAACTGAACTGTTTCAACATTTGGATTATTTGACGAATTATTGCAACTTTTGGTTTTGTGTTACGAACCATTGTTATCTTTAGTATATTTGATGAACTATTGCAATATTTGGTATAATTGACTAACCGTTGCAGTTTTTGGAATATTTGATATCTTAATTTGCTGACTTCAACAAAACGTATTATTCTTTATCTATATAGACGAAAATGGGAGCACGTGATGAATAACTGGTGTGGTCTATTTTGCATATTAAAATGGTTTTCCTTTAACTTTTTCAATTAGCAATAGCATTGCCATATTTTGCCGCCAAACGTTTATATTTATCAAATTCCTTATCTAACTTCTTATATTATTAGTTTTATATATGTTAAAGTTTCCTTTTACGTGGCAGGTACAGTACCTGAGGTACTTAATACGGTAGAATCTCTGATATAATTACGTAATTAAACCAAACTGGAAAAAAATTAATATCTAGAGATATTAAATTGGAATGTTTAGAAAAAAATTAATGCCTATGTTAAAGCATCACCATATATACCAGTATCACAAGAACTAGCTCATATTCATACATATAAAAGTAGGGTTTCACTCTCTTCTTATTTGTCCATTTAGAAATGTAACTTAATTTTTTTTTTTTTTAACTAAATCATAAATAAAACACATTTAACTCACACTTTAATATAAAAACTGAAATCATTAAAATTATACATTAATTATATTTTTCCTCTCATTTTATTCAACAAACAATAAATTGGAATTGTAACTCCCCTAATTTATTTATTTTAATTGTAACTTATCTAACTTTTCATCCTATAAATACTTATTTTTCATTCTCTTATCCTCTCATCCTCTCACCCTTCCCCTATAGCTCAAATCTTAAATATTTTTTTGTTTTGTGTTTTTACATTAGTTTTTTTTTTTTGAAAGATGCATCTTCATTGTCTATTTTAGATAATCATCTTATAAGTAATCATTCTCTCATCTTCTTCTACTATATTTATGTGTCTATTTTTTATGTTGTTATATGGATTAAAAATCAAGAATTTGATTCTAAATATATTTTAGAATGTATTATATATATCTAACATTGTATTCATTTTTGTATATTTCTAAAACTATACTAAAATATACTTATTTATTCTTTAATTTTCATATTTTTTAGTTTAAATTCACATATGTATACTAAAAGTTTTGATGGTTATAACAAAATTTTCAGGTTTATTGGTGATGGAAAGTTAAATATAGCAACTCCAATCATAGCACAACAAGATAATGAAGTTGAAAAAATCAATTTCCATTATCTACTTTAGATGTTTGATTATTTTCTAATATATTCATGTAACTTTTTTATTTATTTTTTTTTAACGGCAAAAAAAATAATAGTTACATGAATATATTAGAATGAAATAAATTATTGTAATACATTTATGAAATATATATTTCTTACCTTTTTCTTATCTCGAATAAATATTGTAATTTATTTTTAATATATGTATTATTATATTTACTTTTTGTG